GTGGGCCATCATACAGAGCTCTGAGATCAGGGGAAATGTGTCAAAACACTCATGTGTTGTCTGGCAGAGAGGAAGACTGGAGAAGATGGTAACTGGTATTACTAAAAACGTTGTGTCAGGTGCTTGAAACTGACTTTGAGGCTAATGAAGAAGGTAGAATACACATTGCTCAGTTAAAACCACTCATGCTTCTCCATGTCAGAGGAAAGGATTTTTTTTTCTGGTGGGAGTTAAGTTAACTGAAAACTATTTAGCAGTTTCCCGAGTCTTGACATGAATAGATGGGATGGGAGACATAAAATGAAGAACACAGGGCAAGGACTCTATTAATATTTTTATTTACTCCGTAACAGCACTATATTGTACTCTTCATATATAATTTAAAATAAAAACAGTATTTGACTGCCCAATAAAACCCGAGATGTCCATGGGATTTAAATAGTTTCAAACTATTTTATTGGAATATCTTGTATGCATTTATGAAGTATGAAGCTGCCTTTATTTAGCTGTCTAAAGCTGAGGTGCTTAGCTGACTGATATTCTAGGAAAATGACTCTACTCTAATCTGAGTGGCACAGCACTGAGAGGTTTGGCTGTGAAATCCTCTTGGAGGTGGAGCAGTAAATTGGGGACATTAATGCCTAGCTAGAGAGTCCTTGGACAAGTGAGAACATTATGTCTGTGCCGTGACTGTCATGTCATTATGGAAGGTATAGTTTCAGACGTGGATTTAAATCTTTTCCAAAACGATTATGTGTATGTCAAGTTGTGAGTGGAAATCTCTGGGACTATTATGTGAAAACATTTGAATGATAAATTATGATTGAATTGTATTTATGCTAGACCATCCATAGATTTGCTGATGGATGACCTATGTATTGGTTATGTTCATAAATACAAAGAATAGTTGAGATGCTTTTAAATTTAACCATTCTTTTTATTGAAAAAGTGTAATTGTTTTAGATAAAAATTACCCAGGGCTTGTAGGAGATGTGAGTCTAAAAGAGCTATAACAGGCAGTTTGAGGATGCTTTTTAGACAAAGTACAAATAAAACGTCTACTCCAGAGAAAAGCAAAAAAAAAAAAAAATTGCCTCTTTAACCTTGACATTTAGCATATTAAAAAATAAAACTCCTTGTGGATTTTAGTAACTTCAAGCAGGTCATGATGTATGGCTTGTGGCTTAAATTTATTCTACTTAGAGACTTTGAACAAATCCTTGAATCAAATCTCAGAAGAGATCATAGTGCATTGTTTTACACATGAAATAGAATGTTATAGATGAAAACCCAGATAGCAGCAAGCTTGTTAGCCAGTAAGATACACATTAAAACCAATAGTAAGATCCAAGATGGGCAAAAAAAAAAAATTAAAATCTCTAAATATGAAGATTATCCAAAGATGTGAACAAAGTTTTAAACTTCTGTTTCTTAGACAAATTTGAAGACCAACCTCAAATTGTCATATGGAGTTAGATACATGCATACATACCCTGTGATTCTCTCCCTACTTACAGACTTCAAGGCAAGACCAGTTCACATTTTCCAGGATTTCTGGAGCACAGAGAACATCGAATAGTCATGCAGTATGATAATGTGTACCCAACAGAAAGAATACTTCATAGCAACAGAAGAAATGCAGTTCCATCTTAGAACATGACATTCAGAGTCAAAAAGGGAAAGAGGAAGTAATTCATTTTAGTTAAAAATATATTCATGAAATTCCCAAAGACCAAATAAAAATATTATTTAAAAATCTTTCAAAAACATGCTGACTAGGATATCACATATATTTAGAGATATTAATCAAGGTGGGAATATTATAAAAAGCAATGAGATAGTAACAAGCCTCTAAATTCACAGCTAGTCTTCAGGGAGAGTAGGAGTAACTGAGGTCAGACATGGAGTCATGTGCCATTAGTGATGTTAGGAACACTCTAGTGTTTAAATTGGATATGTGGCATTGAAAGATCATATTGATTTTTTTATCCTACACACAGTGTTTACAGATAGTATTACCATATATTCCAGAACAATTTTTGGTGATTTATATATTCTGCAGGTTCAATACTTGTGCAATAGATTTCTTTCCATATTTGAAGCAAAGCAATTATTTTGGTAATGAGATTTTACATTATCATGCTCAAATATTATTCTAAAAAAATCCATGCTGTTTTATGGGTGGTTTTTGTTGTTTAGTTTGTCCTCTTTTAGGGATTTATTTTGGCATATGTTATTGAGACCGGGTCTCCCTTCTAGTCCTGGCTGGGTTGTAACTAGAAATCTGTCTTCAACAGCCTATAGAGTACTTAGATTATAGGTGGGCACTAATACATCTAGCAAGCATAGGTTGTTCTAAAAATCCAGACACTCAAACTGGAAAAGAAACATGAAAGAAATGCTCATACAGCATAAGAAGTTGTGTGGTTGATTGATGTGCTCTCAGGGGCTACTTTTTTTTCTTAGATGAAGACCTCATGGCAATTTCCTTCCTACTATGTAGTCATCTCTGAATGAAATAACATTCTCCATTAATATGTCTTTAGTATTTAGGATGAATCATTGGATTGCACATTTATCAAATTCCTCACGTTTCAACAGCTATATGTAGAAAATCATTTGTAAAGTTTTGGTGAAAATAGAACACCTATACCTACACAGGCAGGAAAAGAGGGAGGCAAAGATAGAAATAGATAGATAGATAGATAGATAGATAGATAGATAGATAGATAGATAGATGATAGATAGATGATAGATAGATAGATAGATAGATAGATAGATAGATAGATAGAGTCCCATTCTGCATAATATCTTAGTAGCAAGAATAGTTGCTAGGTAGATGACTGGCCCTTGTCATTTTTACAGACGGATTATCAGACCTTGCACAGATCTTGATGTCTGTGAGCAATATGTTTGTCTTTTCCCTTTGAAAGAGTGAGATAAACATGGTGGCTTATAGTTGGTGTCCCAGCATTTGGAGATGAGGCAAGATGATCCTCTGTTAGTTCTTGACCAATTTGAGCTATAGCCTGAGACTCAAAAATTAAAACAATAACAAATTTAACAAAAATATATGAGGGTAGAGCAGGCACTGTATTTCATCAAATCTTTGCCAGCAGGTGGGTCTCAGTTTTAAATACCTGTCTGAGGTATTTACGTCAGTGATGTGCATGTGACAAAGTTTCCAGTATTAAAGTCTAACACTTAGGGAAAAAAGAAGGAAGGAAGGTAGGAAGAAAAAAATAAAAGACAGACATTCCTGCTTGTTGATATTCCTCACAAAGACAATTATCTGTTGCAGTCCTGTTGAGATCTCAGATGGCCCAGAACGATACTATTTTATTGATGATGTTCTGTAAAAAGATATACATTGATTTGTGCTAGTTCAGTAAAAATAAAGTTTGCTTAGTTTCCTGAGTTATGTGCTTTTTCCCAAACAAATGTAAACTGTCACCCCTCTTTTCTCCCTGGTTCCATTTTCTTTTCCTCTTGTGAGTCTGTGGATAAGTCTTGCTACACTTAATAAGAAGGGTATGTTAATGAAGGCCATGCACAGACACTTGCCTATGATTATATCTGGTTTTTCACAAAAGGAAGAACAATTCATAAAGGATTTAGCACCTCTGAGACTTCCCAGGCAAGAATATATTTTGAATATTTATCTTTTGTTCACTCCATTTCCTTCTGCTTTATACTTTTCCCTAAGCTACAACTAGCTTTCTTCTTGCACAAAGTCTAATTTTGTTTGCCTAGAAGAGAAAAAATATTATGAAAAATAAAAATATTTGCCTTCTTTACACTTCGTAATTCAGAGGAGGGGCATGGGGCTGCTTAAGGCAGTCTTCCCCCGGCCCCGTTGATTGTATGTTTCCCCATGCAAACCTCACCTGAATGTGAATTCACATTTCAGCAAATGTGAGAAGACTGGATCTAGTCCGGACAAGCCAGATGTGTTTTAAGTCATTTCAGATGAAGAACCCATTCGCAAAATAACAGTGACATGGTAAAGAGTAACTCTTCAAGACAATGAAAGTCAAGAAAGACTTCCTTTAAAGTCATCCTTTGAAACTTAAAAAGAAATTTTGCATAAGTCAGATGTATTGCATGAGGGGACTCTGTCCATCCTGTGGGCTTGGAGTACTACAGACAATGCCCAAGTATTAATTGAAGGAAAAGAGAATGGATAGAGAGAAATACATTACAACAACGAAACAAGAATCAGTCCAACATCAGATAGTAAGGCAGCAGCGTGGGATTCAAGGAAAGAGTGAAGGACTGTTTTCAGAGAATGTTAAGACTGAGGACACACAATTTGATGTTCAGATAATTATATAAATGTGAAGGTATAATATCTATCTCAATAATAAAATCCATTAAAACTGTCCAATGCCCATACTAGGACCAGCTAATAAAGTATTTAAATGATAAAAGAGGTAAATCTTAGGAAATGTTGAAAGTAATTAATAATAAAGGCAATATTATATTTTGTTAATTTTTGATGTGGGATTCCCCTCTGTATACTGTGAATACCATTGGTGAATAAAGAAACTACGTTGGCCTTTTGATAGGGCAGAACTTAGGTATGTGGGGTAAACTAAACTAAATGCTGGGAGAAAGGAGGGAGAGAAGGAGAAACCATGTAGCCCCACAGGGGACAGACACCACGTGTTGATGCACAGATTCATGGAGATGGGTTAAATTAAGATATAAGAGTCAGCACATAAAGAGCTATAGCTAATGTGCCAAACAGTGATTTAAATAATACAATTTCTATGTGATTATTTTGGGGCTGGGCAGCCAGGAACTAACAAGTGGCATCCTTCAACAAATTCTTGTTTTTAAAAATTTTGGAAACAAATGAAAAATAAAAACCTACACAACTAAAATGAAATTCTGGAATGTTAATATCAATATTATATTTGAGAAGAATTCAAAGAAAGCAATGTATAATAAAAATATTATTTTAAAAACAGTGAGAAAATAAAATAGAAGATAATTACCCAAAATAGAGTAAAGAAGATTGCAGTCAGTTGTTTCTTTCCCTCCCAGTCCCACAGTGGTTCAGTCTGAAAGAAACACACAGAGGCTTATATCAATTATAAACTGTTTAGCCTATTAGCTTGGCCTATTTTTAAATAGCTCTTACAACTTAAATTATTCCTTAATTTTTGTTTATGGCTTGATATCTTTTCTCAGTGAGGCATTCTCATCTTGCTTCCTCTATCTCTGGCTGATGACTGTATCTCTGCCTTTCCTCTTCTTAGAATTCTCATAGTCTGGTCACCCTGCCTACACTTCCTGCCTGGGTACTGGCCAACCATCATTTTATTAAGCCAAACTAGTGACAAATGTTTACAATATATAAAAATATTATCCCACAGCAGTTCCCCTTTTTCTCTTTTTAGAACAAGACCCTGATTCTAACCTCCTTTGTTTAGCTTTATTCCTGACCATTATCTATAACAACTTGTAACTAACATACTAAACAAATATCCATAATCTGTTTTTTTTGGGGGGGGGATGTGAGCATAGTTTTCTAGACAATTTCCTGATGATTTGGGGCACTGGTAATCTTAGGAGGACCCAAAGAATTAGGATAATGGTCAAGTCCTGACTGGAGTATTCTGTAAGGCTGGATCATCTCAGCCAAGAGTCTTGAAGTTGTTCGGGATGTAGAACTCAGAGGAAGCTGCCACAGAGGTACTCTAAAACATTGGATTATCTGGGCCATCCGCTCTTATCAGAGATTTTTCAGGAGGTCTCCTTTGATCAAACCTTATTTTTCTTAACCAAGAATGAATCCACAGCCTCTTGTCTTCTGTGGAAAAAAAAGCTGCAAGGTTCTTGCAACCATCGCTGAGTCAGGAAGTCTCTCTTGAAGGAGCCGTACCTCAGCTTACCATCAACAAAGATCATCTAACAGAATAATGGCGATTATCAAGAAGCTGAGCTTGACTCTGTTCTTGTATGTCTAGAATCCTTTCTTTTTTTTAAAGCTTTCTCAAGCTTTATGTGGAAATCCTTTCCAAGTATTTGTGTGTCGTTTGTAGACAGATCTTTCTGTCCTGCCCTGTTTCTCGGCTGTTTAGTCCCAAAGAAACACACAGAGATTTATATTAATAATAAACTGTTTGGTCTACTAACTAAGCTTCTTATTAACTAGCTCTTATAACTTAATTTAGCCCTTAATTCTTTTCTGTGTTTAGCCACACAGCGTGATAGCTTTTCTCAGTGATGCATTCTCATCTTGCTTCCTCTGCATCTGGCTGATGATTGCATCTCTGCCTTTCCTCTTCCCAGAGAAAATTCTTAGTCTGGTTTCCCTGCCTGTACTTCCTGCCTAGCTCTGGTCAATCAATGTTTTTTTTTTTTTTTTTGAACCAATACTAGTGACAAATCTTTACAGTGTACAAAAGTATTATCCCACAGCAGAGGATAATAAATATAGATGCAGGTAAAAACATAGGATTGCCTATAATAAAATATTAACTGAAAGATGATTGAAATAGTTACTCATAATATGGTTATATTTTTAAAGCTTAACCTTGATTCAGGAAAATGACTGTAGCACTCAAAGGAAAGAGAGTAAATGTGGAATCCAGAATGATGACTACCATGGAGATCTGCTGAAAGACTTAGGTGTCCATTTCTTAGCTATTGGTTTGAGTGATGGGTATGTGTGTTAAAATAATCTAAAATGAGAAAATGGCTTAAAACTTTTTAAAATGATTAATTACTTAAATACTCTTTTCAAATCATTTAAGGTAACTTAAGCAAAATACGAGTCAATAATACAATAATTTTATGGCAATTTAATCTTTACAAATATATATGTGTTGTTTATATAAGACTCTATTTTAGATATAATGAAAATAAGGACAACTTTTTATTACTATAATCCTGGCCTAACATTCTATAAGTTTATTTTTCTGAATTTGCATAAATTTACATGTGACTCAACCTCTAATTGTCTCTAAACCTGAGATTGCTAGGCAAACCTGAACACTGAAGTGAGGAGAATGCATATTCAAAACAGATGTACTTTCCAGCACACAGCTTCCTTACAATGAAGTGTCTGTTTAATTAATTTCATACAGTTGTATCTGCTTGACTCTCTCCCTCTCTCCAAGCACTCTTGGGACTCTCTGAAATGTTGTACAGATGTTGTTACAGAGAATTACATTGCCAAGTGTCATTAACATGAGTCAACTTCAACATTAATTTCATAGTTTAGACATGGAGGCTACAAGTTTCTCAATATTCATATATATATTCATAGCTTCATGAAATGAGAATTTCTATGTGTGGCATGTTTCCTTCCAGGGTCACCTAAACAGTGACTTCTTACTCTAGAATCCACTAGGCTTCTCAGTCTCTACTTCCTTAAATGAATAGGTTGTCCTAAAATAAGTGGCCTTCTTCCACTGAGCACACAGACTCCTTTTCCTAAGTCTGTTGTGCAAGATAAGAAAGAAAAGAAAGCATTCTGGGTAGAAGACTGGTGTGGAAAATAAGATGCAGAAGTCTAGTGTCTCATGCACAGAAGAGGTTGAGTTCTTCTGTATGGCAGTAGAAGTGGAGTTTGAGTGCTGGCTGCAATTCCAGCAGAAGCCACCAGCAAATGGCTGTGAGCTGATGCTAAGTTAACAACCTCTGTGCTAAGCAAGGAACAAATGAAGAAATCTGATGTGAGAACTGGAACCAGAGAACTTGACTATGGACTGAGATTGAGAAGCACCAGTCTACAGAGTGGAAATATAATTCCATTACTACTGTCTCTTTTCTGCAAGTTCCCAGGTGCTCATTGTTTTTGGAAATACACAAAAAGTGTGAAAAATAAAGACAGTATTGATTTAGTGATACCAGGGCACTAGCACTTTAGCCTGAATGATTCATTAGATGCTTCTTATAATCCATTGGGCAGAGCTTATTCTTTGCTCTATTTTACAGATTTGGAAATTAAGGCACAGAAGCCACAAAATGTGGCAAATATTTTATAGCAATTTGAAGAGTCATGCTGAGGCTATTTAAAAACAAAGCACGTACTATGAACTTCTAGGTTTTGCTGCGTCCTCTGACGTGTGCCACATGCTTTACAGGGCTAAGGGACACTATCATTTTAGATGGAATTAAATATTAAAAGCTGTAGATAACATAAGGGACACTATCATTTTAGATGGAATTAAATATTAAAAGCTGTAGATAACATGTAAATGAATGCCTGTGAGATTCAAGTACGTGCTGTAATTATTGCTTACATGCAAATAGGAAATATGAAGTATACCTCATTAGTGTTCAGCTCATTCTGTCTATGGGTATTATTTCTGTCCTTAATATAAATGAGTATATATTAATAGCCCACATTGTGTTGTAGTTGTTTAGCTAATCTCATTTAATGATCATAATTATCAATGCAATTTTTTTGCAAAGACATATTTAATAAATGTTTCCCATGAAAGCTTCCATTCCAATCCTCAAAATTAAAATTTAGAAGTCTGAGGTATTCTGATAATGTTTCTATAATTTGAGTAAAACTGTTGATGAATTTAGTATCTTGAAATACCTAAATAATCAGAAGACTATGAATTAGGAAATGGAATCTCACTAATTCTCAAAATAAATTTTAAGGTTTGTAATCATGTGAGTCTCAGTTCCCTTATCTATGAAACGGGGATCACTCAAATGAGTTGAGAAACGTATCCATGTTTTGTCTACTAAGACTATGACTTCTGTGATCTACCTAGGTCTCACTGAATCTAGAGAATTCCTTCATTATACTGTAATGCCCCCAGTCTGATGTAGTGGTATTATTATGTATTAAAATGTAGTTGTATTAACAGAAAAACAAGATGTTAAAAAGACAAAGATTTCTGGGGACAATAGGTAACTATTTTGGAAAAGGACTAAAGGTGGCTTTTGCAATATGAGCTTTAGTATACATGTTCACATACCATCTCCTGTATGATCATCTAACATCACTGTGAGGCAGACATAGCCTCTGTCTTCTGTGAGCAGTCCATGCTATACACTGTTATCAATATTCCCAAAACCTCACTTTGCTTGTGTGATTGCCTTTTAACAAAATTTCAACTTTTTTTAAACATTTATTTATTTAAACAAAATTTCAACTTTTAATACATTTTTAAAAGATCTTTCAGCTTCCTCTTGACTACAAAATCTCCTGGAAAATATTATAATAGGTTTGTCATGGAATGCTGTCCAAGATATGTCTTTTCTCGTCTTTCCAGACATATCTCTTCTTCACAGACTCACTTCTGCCATTTATTTTTATCCAATTTGACTATTTTTCATTTTCTACTCACTCACATTGACACTTCTCCATTTATATCACACTTTAGTGTCAGTTTCTGAGTGTGTTCTCATTGAAGTGGTTTTCTCAAGACCCTTTTCTACAGGAAGCTTTCCTCCTTAAATCATCTTAGACATCAAAGAATGCACTGAAACCATTGGGTCTAAAAACTTACTGCATGAATTTTGTATCTCAGAAATACCCCATTAGTCATCACTCAATTTATTACTGTACTGATGGAGAACCTGGTACCAAGACAAAGTCACAAACCATGTTGGATCTCTGTACTATCATCCTCTGCCATCTACTAGACAATTTTCCTATTCTTAAATTGCTTGGTGAATGATGAATGAATAAGTGAGTGTTTGGTAGATGGGTGAATGGATTGGCTATCTCTTAAAACAAGGGTTGCCATAGTCAGATTGTAAGTCTAGTCTCTCTGTAGGTTGTAGGGACTGTCTACTGCTACTGTACTGTTGTAGCAGGAGGCCAGAGAAAATATCTAACCAGAGCACGTGGTCTGGAGTTGCCTAACCCTGTCATAATGAACAAGTAACTCTGGAAAACGCCATCCACCCTGAGGCAGATTTTAAACAGTATTCTTCCTCAGATCATGTCAAAATTCCACATAAAACACTACTACACTTATTCAAATGTTCCAGTACAAATTGCATGCCTTCTCCAGTCATGTTCAAGTCTTTCTGCTATCATTCATATTATTGTGAACTTTATTAAGTTATTTTTATAGATGAACTT